AACCTATTTTGGCTTTATTTGAGGGAAAGATTAATAGCAATGCCAACGACCGCGTTCGAGAAGATAGAGGATTATCGGGGGCTTGCGTAGACTTTACTTACACAGTCCTGGATCTATGTATTGTTGTTGTCGCTCAATCGAAACTTGAGGACCCAAAAGATGACGCTGCCCAACTTATGTTCGAGCTCAAAGGTTAGTCGATCAAAATTGGAACCCAACTCATTCCCATACCGATACTAATGAGACTACGTCTATCCCAACAGGTGCACAACAATCAAACAAGTTAAAAGGATTTCCCCTCAGAACCATCAACGGCCTACTGTGCTCAAGAGACTCATGGGAGATATGGAGTTGTGATGTCAATGGTGATTGCAGTAGAAGTCAGCCACTTCCAATGACTAACCACAGCAAGGATGTCTCCTTGAAAAATCTCGGGTTTCTTTTTGAAGTTGTCTACCACATCTTTTTTGAAGCATACATAGGTGCTATTGAGGCTTTAATAAACCGCAGTGAGATGCACCTTCCAGTAAGACCCTTTTGCTGGAACTAACCAGACCCTCAAAGAATTGTAAATCCTAACTGTTGACATATCCTTCTATGGGCCATTCAATCAACAGGCAAAATCACACCAATGGCAGGCCTCATTACACTTAGGCACGGATGCATTCAACATGGCAAGAGTCGCAAAAGACAATGTTCAATTCCATGAAGCTATCAAGAAACTACAGGAAAGGTACGTCAATGCCATCCATACTCACCAGTAGTTCATTTGAACTAAATAAACACCTTCTGAGTTTTGCAGCTTTGATTTATTACCTGATGAGCACGATCGTGAATTAGGTGGGTACCTTGAGGCATTCAAGAGTGCTATATCTAAGTGATCTTGTATTGCCATAGCCTTTTTGCTCCCACAGTTTTCCTTCCTCAGCTCTTGCCTTTGAATGTTTCCCTTTCCTGTCTCCTATGCACACCTCCTCGGCTTGATTGGATATCTTTTGATAGGACAACCATATGGGTTTTAACAAAGGGGCTTAATAAAAAAAACGTGGTTTTTCCACGTTTTGACGCGGGTTTTTTAATTAATTTATTTTGCCTTTTATTTTAAGTTTTTTTGATTTTTTAAAAATTTTTCCCAGGTTTTCAAATGCGTAGAATTTAATGGTCAAGTCCATTTTCCATAAAAATGACTTTTGATTATTATTATTTTTTCCACTCATTTTTTCCATTGATTGTATGCATGCATGTTTTTACCTTATTTTTTATGCTTTTTTGTACTTTTATATTTATTTCCAAGGTTTTAATGTGCATAGAAGTTAATGGTGTCAACCAAATTTTTCAAAACTCAACAGTTCATTTTTAATGCTGAAATTTGACATTTTTTCACTTAAATTTCTACAGCTTAATTTTCATTATTTTTTGACGTTTTAAATTTTTTTCCTACACTTTGAGACATGTAAAAAATTATGGTAACAACCATTTTTCCCCAAAATGAAAACTATACCTTGAATGCTGCATTTGACACATTTTTTGAATTAATTCTTCACTTTTTCACTTAATTGTTTGCATACATGTCTGTACCTTATTTTTTTTGCTTTTTTGAAATTTCAAAGTTGTTTCCTACATTTAAAAGTGTGTAGAATTTAATGGTAACATCCAATTTTCTTAAAACTCAACAGTTCATTTTAATACTGAAATTAGACATTTTGTTCAATTAATTCTTTACATGTTATTTCTCAATTTTTTGACTTTTTAAATTTATTTGCCACACTTCCAGACATGTATAAAATTGTGGTAACAAACACTTTGCATCAAAATAAAAACTTTACCTTGAATAATCCCTTTGACATGTTTCTTTAATTAATTCTTACACACTTAATTATCCTTATTTTATGGAATTTTAAGTTCATTTACTACACTTTAAAAGGTTTTCAAATTGTTGGCTGTATCCATTTTGCATTCAAACAAAATTTGTATACGGTACAAATTATGCAAGAAACGGGGTACACTCATATATTAAGATTGAAGCTTGTATTTTTATGGAATTTGGACTTCACCATTCAATTCTACACATTTTTAAAGGGCCTTAATAAAAAAACGCGGTTTTTCCGCGTTTTGACGCGGTTTTGATGCGCCGCAGCACACGCGGTTTCCGCTTTTAGACGCGGTTTTTTAATTAATTTTTTACGGCTTATTTTTTGAGTTTTTTTGAATTTTTAAAGTTGTTTCCTACAATATAAAAGGCGTAGAATTTAATGGTAAAAACCATTTTTCATAAAAATGAATTTTGATTATTAATTATTTTTTTTTCACTCATTTCTCAATTAATTGTTTGCATACATGTATGTACCTTATTTTTTATGCTTTTGTGAAATTTTAAAATTATTTCCTAGGTTTCAATGTGTGTAGAATTTAATGGTGCAATCCAATTTTTTTAAAACTCAACGGTTCATTTTGAATACTGAAATTAGACCCATTTTTTCACTTAATTTTTTACAGCTTAATTCTCATCATTTTTTGACATTTTAAATTTATTTCCCACACTTTAAGACATGTAGAAAATGATGGTAACAACCATTTTTCCCCAAAATGAAAACTATACCTTGAATGCCGCATTTGACACGTTTTTTTTAATTAATTCATCACTTTTTCACTTAATTGTTTGCATACATGTGTGTACCTTATTTTCTATGCTTTTTTGAAATTTTAAAGTTTTTTCCTACATTTAAAAGTGTGTAAAATTTAATGGTAACATTCAATTCCCATAAAACTCAACGGTTCATTCTGGATACTGTAATTAGTCATATTTTTCAATTGATTTTTAAGAGCTTAATTTTTATTATTTTTTGACATTTTAAATTTGTTTCCTACACTTTCAAACATGTATAAAATTATGGCAACAATGAATTTTCATCAAAATGAAAACTATATCTTGAATAATGCCTTTGACGTGTTTCCTGAATTAATTCTTACACGCTCAATTATCCTTATTTTTTGGAATTTCAAGCTCATTTCCTACACTTTTAAAGGTTTCAGAATTGATGGCTGTATCCATTTTGCATTCAAATAAAATTTGTATATGGTACAAATTATGCAAGAAACAGGGTACACTCATCTATTAAGATTGAAGCTTGTATTTTGAGTGAAATTGGACTTCACCATTCAATTCTAAACATTTGTAAATGTAGGAAATAAATTTAAAATAAAAAAAATGCTTAAAATCAGGCCGGTAAAAATCAATCAAGAAAACATTAAAAAAAGCCTGTCCACTGCAGTATTCAGTAACAAGCGCTGATTTTTATGTAAAATGGTTGTTACCATCATTTTTATCATGTATTAAAGTGTGGGAAACAAATTTAAAATGTCAAAAAATAATGAAAATTAAGCTCTTAAAAATCAATTGAAAAATATGACTAATTACAGTATCCAGAATGAACCGTTGAGTTTTATGGGAATTGAATGTTACCATTAAATTTTAAACACTTTTAAATGTAGGAAACAACTTTAAAATTTCAAAAAAGCATAGAAAATAAGGTACACACATGTATGCAAACAATTAAGTGAAAAAGTGATGAATTAATTAAAAAAAACGTGTCAAATGCGGCATTCAAGGTATAGTTTTCATTTTGGGGAAAAATGGTTGTTACCATCATTTTCTACATGTCTTAAAGTGTGGGAAATAAATTTAAAATGTCAAAAAATGATGAGAATTAAGCTGTAAAAAATTAAGTGAAAATGGGTCTAATTTCAGTATTAAAAATGAACCGTTGAGTTTTAAAAAAATTGGATTGCACCATTAAATTCTACACACATTGAAACCTAGGAAATAATTTTAAAATTTCACAAAAGCATAAAAAATAAGGTACATACATGCATGCAAACAATTAATTGAAAAATAAGTGGAAAAAAAAATTAATAATCAAAATTCATTTTTATGGAATTTACCATTAAATTCTACACCTTTCATAGTGTATAAAAAATAGGAATAAATTTTAAAATTTTGAAAAAACTCGAAAAATAAGCCGTAAAAAATTAATTAAAAAACCGCGTCTAAAAGCGGAAACCGCGTGTGCTGCGGCGCATCAAAACCGCGTCAAAACGCGGAAAAACCGCGTTTTTTTATTAAGGCCCTTTTTAAATGTAGGAAGAAAATTAAAAATTTCAAAAAATGATTAAAATCAAGCCGGTAAAAACCAATTAAAAAACATTAAAAAAAATGTCCAACACGGTATTCAATAAAAATCTTTGGTTTTTATGCAAAATGATTGTTATCATCATTTTAATCATGTCTTACAGTGTGGGAAATAAATTTAAAATGTCAAAAAATAATGAAAATTAAGCTGTAAAAAATTAAGTGAAAAAATGTCAAATTTCAGCATTAAAAATGTACTGTTGAGTTTTAAAAAATTTGGATTACACCATTGAATTCTACGCACATTAAAAACTAGGAAATATATTTAAATTTCCAAAAAAGCATAAAAAATAAGGTAAAAACATGTATGCATACAATTAATGGAAAAAATTAGTGGAAAACAAATTACCAATCAAAAGTCATTTTTATGGAAAATGGACTTGACCATTAAATTCTAAACATTTGATACCCTAGGAAACAATTTTAAAAGATCAAGAAAACTTAAAATAAAAGGCAAAAAAAAATAATTAAAAAACCGCGTCTAAACGCGGAGACCACGTGCACTGTGCCGCAGCAAAACCGCTCAAAACACAGAAAAAACACATTTTTTATTAAGGCCCTTAACTAGTTATCCCCAAGCCATCAAATCTCAATTTTTTTATCAGCATGGTCTGTCTTGATTCATGTTGTTGTCATTGGTGGGCACCTCAATTTTTGTCTCAAATGTCTGATGTACCTGTGGAAGTTTGTGCTTTGTCCCAACACGCATCAATTCCTACACTTTCAACCTACTCAGATTTAATAGATCAGGAGGAGAAAGTTGAGCACTCACAGTCAGTGAGGCAATTTTGATATGATCACACCAAAATCTGTAATCAGCACTGGCTCTGGGATTAAATATGGGCATCAACTTTTCAACTTGATCAATTCAGTCCTGTTATCCGCACTTACCAGCCCTGATGAAATTGGCTCAGGCTCCTGGACCTTACTCCCTTCTGATTGGCAGGTACTTGGTGAAATCAAAGTCCTATCAAATATCAACATTAGCAACCACCTCAATCGTTTTACCTTACAATTTCCATACCCGGTTTGCATCAAGATGAGTGAAAGAATTGGCCCACCAGAAACTCCACATACCTTGTATTGTTGCAAAATTCAGATGGCCAAGAGGACTAGCTCCGAAAACTATTTCAAGGCTGTGTCTGTCGGCACGTTCAAGCAAACACATTTAAATATTTATTTACTTGTAGATTCCCGATCACAGCTGAACCTAGCTACCCCTTGTTTGTGCACATGATTCTCTTTTGTTCTTTTTCTACCTACAGGAAATGTGCTATTGTCGTTCAGTAAAACAACGTGGTCTGACATCCAGTATCAATTGGGACTCTGAGGCTGGCTCTCAATTCCCACCTTCAAGCCAGAAACGTCACACATATTGCATGAGATCTGCTGTAGTATTCTCAAAGAAATCAGGATCTCAGAGATGTTGGTGGTGCCAGTAGTAGACTCCGACAATGAAGCTAAAGTTGTCACTTGGATCAACTCAGTATGTCCAGTACGTTTCCTAGCCAAAAATGATATCGTAGCTGATGGCAAACATCAAAGGCAATAAAACATATAGCACACCTTTTCCGTGGTAATATGACACCAAAGGCAAGTTTCCAGAAAGTACCTTATCAACAGGGGGTCAGGTGGAATTTCTTTATACAGTTCTTGGCACGTGCGTTGTTCTTGTAATTGAAACAAAGGGACCCAGGCGGTCATCAGGATTCAGAGCAAGATAATGCGGC